AAAAAAAGACTAAAGACCAAAAGGAAGTATACAAATACTACACCCTGTGTCATAGGCTGTAAATGTACCCTGCAAAGATTCAGAATCAAATCTCTGGAGTCTGTGAATGTTACTTTATACTGAAATAAGTGGGATCTTGAGATAGGAAGATTATCTAAATTGTCCATCTAGATGGACCCCAAATATATCACATGTATACTTACAAAAGGAAAGCAGAGGGAGATTTCATATGCAGAGAGGACWAAAGAAGGTGGAACAGAGAGAATTTGGAAATGTTGGCTGTGATTGCTAATTTTATGTCAACTTGGTCTATACCTAGTTGTTTGGTCAAACACCATTCTCTTTTTTGCTATGAAGGTGTTTTTAGATGGGATTAAATTTTTTTCTTTAAAGAAAAGGGGCTTGCTATGTTACTCAGGCTGGCCCTGAACTCCAGGCTCAAGTGATTCTCTAGATCCTCCAGAGAAATTATGGTCTTGGTGGCATCTTGATTCCAACTTTGGACTTTGGTCTGCAGAACTGTGGAAGAACAACTTTCTGTTGTTTCAATTCAGAAARGCTGCAGTAATTTGCTATAGCTGCCACAGGAAATTAATATGTACTAGCTGATACATTTTGTTGATTATAAAATGTGTTATGTATGTACACTAGAACTGAACAAGAATATATTCATATACTGTAGATAATATCTAGGTTTCTTATTGTCAGATAAAACAGTTACAAATAAAAGGAGAATACTAGAATATATTAGTCAGCTTTGCATTCCTACAGCAAAATACCTGAGAGGCTAATTTATAGAGAAAATATTTATTTAACTTATAGCTTTGGAGGTCCAAAGTTGAAGATCAGGTGGTGGAGGCATTGGTTTGGTCTCTGACAAGGGTGGCAGATAGTGGCACATCATAGCAGAAGTGCAAGTAGGGGCAAATGGTCACATCTCTAACAAGAAGAGAGAGAGAAAAAGAAAAATAGACCAAGGTCCCACAATCCTTTTTGAGGACATGCCCCCAATAACATAAAAACTTCCCACTCTTTCTTTCTTTCTTTTTTTTTTTTTTTTGTACCAGGGATTGAACCCAGGGGCATTTAACCATTGAGCCACATCTCCAGCCCTTTATTTTTTTTTTTTTACTTTAAATATTTTTTTTTATTTTGGGGCAGAGTCTCACTAAATTGGCAAGGCTGAATTTAAACTCACTATCCTCCTGTCTCAGCCTCCTGAATCACTGGGATTACAGGCATGTGCCACCATACCTAGCAAGAACCTCCCACTCTTAAAGGTTCCATCACATTAGTGCTACCCAGGGAGCGAAGTCTTTAACATATGACATTTGGGTACACTCAGCATCTAAACCTAGCATAAAATCAATCTCATGTTGCTTGAGTTTTCAGCATAAATTTGTGTTCTGCTTCATTTTTATCAGATAGATAAGACACACAAACGTGTATTTATACATAGGTAAGTATGCATACATACATTTCCTAGCTCTGTTCATTGAGAAGCAGTGATACCCCAGAAGCTGTTGCATGCTCAGACATATACTTCCATTGAGAATAAATCAGACTTGATTAATTTTGGAGTATTTCTCTTATATTCTTAGAAAGTTTTTTTTTCTTATCATATAGAGACAAAATTAGTCTAATATTAAAATACTTTATTTCCTTAAAGATAATTAGTAAACAGTATTGATTTTTCTTCTACATGCATTAGGAAGCTCTGGGACTAGGCCACAAATTTTGAAATCTAAATAAAAGTGGACATAAATTCCTATTTTGAAAATGATAGCAGATTTGATTGCTTTTAGAGGAATACTTTTTTWAAAAAWTTATCTTTAGAAGTTTGTTGGATTAAAAGTTATTTTTGTGATTTGTATTAGGAAATTACATGTGCCCCCATTAACTGGATGACCTATTATATCAAACACAACTAAACAATTCTGGTTCCTTTCTCCTTTTATCTTATACCCAGGTGGAATTCTATCAAATAGATTTCTTTTAACTAAGATATAATTTTCCAATTTTAGGTATCAGTAGTATCAAACTGCAAAAATATCAATTATTACCTGGAACATACCACCACAGACCTGGACCACTGCAAATGACTCCAAATTCATTTATCTAATTCTAATTTCTCCCATCTCTGACTGTATTATCAGTTTAATCTTCCTTAGCCATTCTTTTTCTTCTTGCAGATCTGGCATTTAATATATAAGTTCCTTTTTTGGCCTCAGAAATCAATACGCTTCATGATTCTCAGTAAATCAGTCCTACCATATATATTAAACTCAATTTCCTATTATCCTGTATTCTAATTAGGTCTGTTCTTTAATTTCCTCCACACATAGTTAATTTGTAATTCCATTTTTCTTTTGCTCATAGTATTTTATTTACCCAGAAAGCTTTTTTTTGTCATATTTACCAGTTCAGTTTAATTATATTAAGTCAATAAATGCTTAATGAAATCCTACCAAATATTAGCCATTAGAGTTCAACAATTAAAAAAATGCAAAGCTGAAAAAGGCTTCAATTCAGGGCTGGAGAGTAGTTCAATGGTAAAATATGTACTTAGTATGTGCAAGGCCCTGAGTTCAATGCCCAGTATCACAATCAAAAAAAGTCTACAAAAATGCATTAGCTTTTCACATAAGAATTTTACAAACTACATACCTTCAAAGTCCCAATTAAAATTCTGCTTCTTGGGCTGGGGTTGTAGCTCAGTGGTAGAGCACTTGCCTAGCATTTGTGAGGCACTAGGTTGGATCCCTGGCACCACATACAAATAAACAAAGTAAAGGTATTGTGTGCATCTACAACTAAAAAAAAATATATTTAAAATTCTACCTCTTCAGTGAATCCTTCCAGCTTTCCAGGTCACGATGACCTTTCTAATTCTTAAAGCAATTGGTTTCTTCTCTACCACAGATCAAGTTACAAACCATAGAATTTAATTATAACTTTATTGTAATGTACTTTTGTTGTTTTCTGAGTTTTGTCTCAACCAAGTTCTAAGTTACTTGAATGTAGGACTATGTTTTCCAGACATTTTATATTCTCCCAAGTTGCCATATGCACTATAGATATTTTAAAGTACTTATTTTAGAGGCTGGTTTGTAGCTCAGAGGCAGAAAACTTGCCTAGCATATGCAGGGCCTAGTACTGCAGAACAAAAACCAAAAATATTTATTTTCTGCCAATTATTGATGCATTATTTAACTACATTACTGTGCTAGATATTACTCTGAAGTAAAAATAAACCATAGACTCACTAAGTCACTCAAGGCTAAAACCAGTTTTGAATTTCTTAATAAACAACAAATAAACCAATTTCAACTTTTTTTCTCCTTTCTCATATATTGTCAATTTCTTTATTATATCAAAACCACCAATTAATTCAATCATGGGGTTATAAAACAAATACCTAATATGAAAAGAAAAACTTCAGCTTTAAAAAAAAATTATAGTTGTAGATGTACAGAACAACTTTGTTTGCTTATATTTATGTGTTGCTAAGGATCAAACCCAGTGACTTTCAGGTTAGGTAACTACTCTGCCACTGAGCTATAGCCCCAGCCCCAAATTTCAGCTTTTTAACTAGAATTTTAATATTCCAATCAGTTGAAGATTTGTGTTTTTTTTTCCTTAACACAGTCTAAAGTTTTAAAAATCCTATCATTAGTTAGATTAGCCTTTTTTACAAGTCTTTGGGAAGGTTTAATTTAACACAATTGTGATGTTTTGGATATCTGATGAAACAGTATAGACCCTCACCCAAAATGTGGTTTGCATATTGAGACTGATGATGCCACACATCCCCACTCAAATAGGGTATGAAAAGATTTTCCACTCACATAACAAGATTTTATGGGGAGGAGAGGGCAGGCCTCCATATTGATCTGAAAATGGCCTAAGAAAAGAGACTGCTCATGGGTTTTTAAGGTGGTTAGGGGTGAAGCTGGGGTGAGAGTTCTTGTACACTTGTTACTGACACCAAAGGAGAGAGCCCCTAGATTTTCTTATCAGTTTGACCAGATGTGGGAAAGAAGGGGAATCAGAAGAAATAAGGTTTAAAAATGTGTCAGCAGTTACACATCAAATATGGAGTTATACTCTTTATTACTTGACATTACAACCAATTTTAAAAGCACAAAATACAAGATATTGTACAATATTTACATAATTTCAGAAAATTTTAAACATCTTGATTTAAGTTATATATAATTAATTGAAAATACAAAATATAAGTATGAAATTGTTTTCTGTTGAAGACAGGGRATAAAGTTTTAAATGTTCTTCAAAAAAGGTTTAAACAAAAAGCAGGAACACCATTGATAACAACAACTCAATTTTCAGAAAATAGTCTTTCTCATACAATTTTCTTACATTAAAGATAAAAAAAATAACTGATAAAATTAGAAATTTACTATTTGTTGTATTTAAGAGAAAACAACAGAGATTTCATTCACTGTCAATAATAAATTCTCTGAAATGATTATCAGAATACCATTCACATTCTGGAACACTGATGCATAAGTGAAACCCAGTAATTGTAAAAAAAAAAAAAAATGTTTAGTTGCTATAGCATACCCGAGCACTAATTCTAAACAATTGCCACTAAAAAGTCTTCTGATGACCTCAGGAATTCTTCTTCTTATGAAAACAACTAAAATACCATTAAGAATGAAATTTGGACTCCAGGAATAAACAGATTTATATTTATAATAAAGAGTAATGGAAGAAGTATCAAATTTTACTCAGATTAACAAAAGTTCTGCCTGGGTATGCCTTGCAAAATCAAAACCAAAATAAATGACTAGCTAATGTCATAAATAAAAAATATTCAATATTTAAATGTTTAAATTAATATAATCAAATAATTTCACTATGGTAAACCATTTCATTTCATCACCAAAAAAGGAGTATCTTCAGTTTTTAGTAGTAATGTAAATTTATGCCCTAGATGATTATAAAATATTAAAATAATTCAAAAATTAATAACTAGTTCAAAAAAAAGTAAATTGTGCCGTATTTTGTGAGGAAGATGAAAAACCTTTTAATGAAGAAGAAGGTATTGTTTGATCCTGTTCAAAAGAAAAGGGAAAACTAAAATCATCTTTTCCAGTACCAAATGTATGAGCTGAAGTGTCTGATGAAAAAGAAAATGTAAAGGTGTCTTCTCCTTCTGGTTTCCCAAATAAATTTCCTGAGGAAGACAAATATTACAAGATCATGCTATCCATGTTATATAGAATGCATATAACCTAGAGGATTACAATACAATGTATACAATAAATATAGTACCACTGAATTATTTTCCTGTTTAACAGATATTTAAATGTATTCTTCTCACATGCGAGGCATTATTCTTGGCACTATGGAAGGATAAACAGACTCAAACATAAACCCGACTTGTAAGTAATATGAACTCAAGTAAATAAAGAACTACTATATGTGGTAGAAGGTGTAGTAAAACACTTCAAATGAAGAGACTAGCACAGAGGCCCAGAAATAGGCATTGGAAGTATTAGAGTAACAGAAATCAGTTCAACTTGGCAAGATACTGAGAAATAATAATGATATATTAAGCAGGAATTAATGAAGATGAGCTTGGAAAGACAGTTGAATGTCTCACTAGAGAACCAGGACTTTATTTAGTAGGCAACAGGAAAACATTAGGCATTATCATATACAATATGACATTAAATAAATTGTTTTATAAGGATTCTTCAGGAGAGAAGTGTAGAAAGGCTGTAACAGAAGTGTCTAGAAGTGGAGAAAACCAAAAGGAAAAAACTCTATTGTCCAGCAAAGAGATGGTGAAAATTGACCTTACCTATACCATCATAGCAATGAAAATGGAGAGAAAAAATGTTAGATCTGAGAGACACTGCATAAGTCAAACTTATCCAACCATTATTTATTGACCAATTACAATATACACTAATAGCATTGTTCAAAAATCAACTTTATATATAGAATTATTTGGTGTTTGACTCTCTGAATTTCCACTAAAGAAAAATACTGTTTTCATCATTATATTATTTAAAACTATAAATATTAAAGTTGTCAACATCTTAAATTTAAAATCAATTATTATTAACTCTACAATAAATGAAAGATTTACCTAAAACAAGTCTTCTAAGGCACCTAATATTTTTTTCCATAGAGAATTGATCAACTAGTACATTAAGCAAAAGAAATTACTTTGTACCACTTTGAAGTTTTCTTATATTTTTTAATATCTCAGTTATTTTACTCTAAATAAGCCAACTAGCAATTAAAATGGCTGATTGACTGGATGGACTGATTACCAGACAGTTGTGTTTTGTTTCTCTCCCTTTCTCATTTTATTCTACTGTCTTCAGCACACACCCATAAATCTTAAAAAGAAAATTTAGACATAGATCCAGAAAAAACTAAAATCTTGAATCACTCTTTGCATAAATAAATTTGATTTCATTTTTTAATTTCAGAAGATTATATGTGGGCTTCATAAAACTATGTTCACTGTAAATAAATATAGATTGCTATGCAAGGCAGGATTCTAGGTGCTGTGAGGAATTCAGAAGTGAATATAACAGGTCTTTGCCCTTAAAGAACCAAAAATCCAGAGAGTATCTCATATATATATATATATATATACATATATATATATATACACACACACACACACACACACACACACACAAATAATAAATGATAGGAGGTAGAATATTTAAAAGTATAAAAAAGGGGTTGGGGATATAGCTCAGTTGGTAGAGTGCTTGCCTCACATTCACAGGCCTTGGATTCAATCCCCAGCACTATAAAAAAAAAAAAGAAGAAGAAGAAGAAGAAGAAGAAGAAACATTCACAAAAGTGAAAAAGAGGTCTTTTTGGAATGCAAGGTTGAGGGGAAAATAAAGGTTTTTAGGGAAGAGAACTTAGTCTTGAAAGATGGTTAGGAATGGAAGTTGGAGATTACAAGAAGAAAAAAAGCAGATAAGAAAATATGGCTTATCTGGCACTATGTTCTTCAGTCTAGCCAAAGCATGGGTAATTCTTACAAGGAAAAGGGCTTGAAAGGTATGTTGGAGCTAGGTTAGAAAAGTAGGAAAATAATTTGAGTTGATGGAGAGCCACCAAAGGCATCTGATTAGTGCAATTACAAAATCAACATTAGGCATGAGGAAGATTATTTAAACTGTGATTTATAGGTAAGCTAGGAAGATGAAAAGACCAATTAAGATATGACTACAGTAGCACTGTGAATAGTTATTAGAGTTTGAAATATAACAGTTCTGATTAATATAGAAAAAGGAAATAAGTACTTCAGAGGAAGAACTGATAAAACTTGATTAGCTGAATTTAGTCACAGTCACAAGGAGAAGTTAAAATTATTACTGAATTTTGGCCACCACAATAATGGAGATAACATTAGGGACATTAAAAGAACAAATTTGATTTCAGATATGGTGAGTTTTTAATGTTAAAACATATCTTAGATATAAAAAGATTTTCATTACAACTTCATTCTTACAGTTATTGTTGTCAAGATCTTAGCATCATCCTTGTTTCCTTCTCATCCTTAAAGGTGATAGACAAATTCTTCCAGATCTATCTTCAGAAAAATTGATAACCAAAATCCCATTCCTTCTTACCAATTCTACTGTCATTATCTTAGCCATCACCAATTCTTTTTTTTTTTAATTTTTTTAATATTTATTTTTTAGTTCTCGGCAGACACAACATCTTTGTTGGTATGTGGTGCTGAGGATCGAACCCGGGCMGCACGCATGCCAGGCGAGCACGCTACCGCTTGAGCCACATCCCCKGCCCATCACCAATTCTTACTTGTATTATTTTAATAGCTTCCTAATCTGTTTTCACTCATTTCCATTATTTGTTCCCCATATAGCAGACAGTAATCTTTTAAAAGCCAGTTAGATCATTTCAGTCCTTTGCTCAAAACCCTCCAATGGTTTACCATCTCACTTTCCAAAGATCTGAACAGTCTATAGTCCCACGATTTGCTCCCTCTCCAACCTCTCTGATTTAATCTTCCTACATAATTCCTCCTTCCTTATTCCATTCCAGTTAATACCAATTTACCTGCTGTTCATTGAACATACTGAGTATGTGCCTATCTCAACTTTTCATCCTTTACTTGGAAAGCTTTTCCCAGTAGCTTGTACTGCACCTCCTTCATGTCTTTCCTCAAATGTCACCTCTTAATGATTGCCTTCTCTGACTCCCTCGTAACACAGCAACTGCCTTCTCAATCCAAGTTCTTCTTATTCCCCTTATTCTGCTTTATCTTTATTTATATTATTAATTATAACCAGTAAGTACAGAGTTAACCTCAAGCCTAGACTGATTCAGACCCACTTAGAAGAATGATCTTGGAGTCTGATTTCTCACAACACTGTCTCCTTAGAAAATACAGAATTAAGGTAGATATGGAATGCTGAGTCTACAGCATTACTTGTCTACAGTTCTGTGTGAAACTACACCTGAATTAGAAGAGTTGTATAGGTCTTGGGCCTCATGACTAGATTTCTTTAAGARCCTGCTGAAAACTGAGGCTGCAGCTTTTGTGTGTCAAGGCAACCTACATGCAATATAACTTATCCACAGCTGCCTGAAATCTTTCACATGGATGAGGTGGCAGAAGTAAGATTATTACTTGGATATCTGATGAGCCTCTCAATGAGACAAAGATATTGTACCCATGTTATTTCTTATTCCTCCTCTTATTGAGCCATTCACWTTTCAATAAATTCTTACAGTATTGTCAAACCTTGGCATCATCCTTGTTAGCTATAGAGTAAATTAAATACTGAATTAAAAATCACAACATATGATCAGTTGCCAATTCAAACCCATAAAAATTGTTGTTTAATGTACCACTTGATATATTATATATTGACTTGTCTATCTTCAGTCTCTCCCACTAGAACACAAACCCTATGAGAATTTTGCATGTTTGTCCACTGTTCTATTATCAAAACCAAAGTAGTAACTGATAAAACAATATAATATATACACACACTTATTTATATTTTGAACAGATTAACCAATAAAAGAATAAAAGAAAGAAAATGCAATAAAAAGTAAGCACAGAGAGATAGGAAGAAATCCAAAGAGTCCAGAAAGAAGATATGAACAGTCAACTATATCATGCTGCAAAGGGACTGAATATGATAAACAATGCAAAATATTCATAATGTTTGAAAATTGAGAAGTTATTAGTAATCTTGGAGAAAGCAAGTGTTGTCAACGCAGTGGAAAAAAACACACTAAATTGCTAAAAATAAAAGCAGTGAATAGTATAGAAGTCAAGAGTAATTTTTTAAAGAATAAACTGAATGCCTAGAAAAATCTATTAGAAACAAACTAAAATGCCAAGGGGGAAAGTTAGCATGTTTTTATAAGTAGYAAATCACTTACCAATTCCTTGTTGTGATGAGGGAGGATTTAGATTTGCTTCAGAATAATGTTCATTAAGCTGGAAAATAATTTCCATAAAATATTACTTGTCAAACCAGTAGAAAAACATACATAGTATTTGTATTTGAATCCAAAGCCTGGTACTTTTAATATGCAGCATTAGAGTAAGCATATAGCAATATTCTATACAGCACACTACTGTACTTTTTTWAAAAAAAAGTTGTATTTTTTGGCTGGGGATGTAGCTCAGTGGTACAGTGCTTGCCTAGAATATATTAGGCCCTGGGTTCAATCTCCAAAACTGAAGAGAGGTGGGGGGAGTATTCTGTCTTCAAAAGCTGTCATTTACTTATTAAAATAAGRCCTACTAATTTTACTATACCAATAGATAAAGAATTAATAGGCAATATGTATTGCACTAAGGATAATTCCTACTTCAGGATCTTACTATAACATTAAATTCTAATAAAACTTGCTTGATTCTGAAGGCCTTTAATAAATCAGGGTCTTAGTACTGCTTTTCTGACTATGAACGTAAAAGGATGCTGACAGCTTCCTGTCCATTCAGATCAAATTTTGCTGCCAAAAAAAAAAAAAAGAGTCTATTTTCTCAGTAAGATGGGCTTTTAAAAATGTTTTCATGATGGCTTAGTTTTTTTGTCCTTTTTTTATCTTAATATTACCATATGACCATGTTGCTATTCTTCTGAAACCTCTTTGTGGCAGTATAATATTTCTCCATATAGACATACTGTACTATTTCAATTATTCATTTATTTTGAACATTTAGGTTGTTTTGATTTTTCTATAATTATAAACACCACACTTAAAACATTTGAGCACAGAATCATATTTCTTTAACAATTATTAAGAAAAACTGTTTTACCATAAATCATGTAATTTAATTTTCTTTTTCAGGGGACTATTCACCAAATGGATTTTGCCCATTTCTATACTGAGGTAGTAATTTAAGTTCTTTTTTAAATTTTTTAAAATTTTTTTAATATTTATTTTTTAGGTGTAGTTGGACACAATGCCTTTATTTTATTTTATTTATTTTTTTTTATTTATTTTTTATTTATTTTTTATTTATTTTATTTTATTTACTTTTATTTATGTGGTGCTGAGATCGAACCCAGGGCCTCACATGTGCTAGGCGAACACTCTACTGCTGAGCTACAACTCCAGCCCAGTAATTTAAGTCTTAATATAATAAAGATGTTAATTATTTTTATACTTTTATCATATTGCCTGTCCAATTTTTTAACTTGGAAGTCTGAATGAAATTAACTTAATTGCTTTTTCTTTTGGTTCTTCTTCCACTGCTTTTATGTTTTGAGCATCCATCCTTCTGAGGTCTAGTAAATATTAACTTATATTTCCTCTGAAGTATTTTATGGTTAATATTTTTTCATTTATTTTAATTCATCTGTAAATTTACTGGCATACAGTGTAAGWTGAGTGTCTAATTTATCCCTGTGTGGTCCCATCTTTATCATATTCTAAATTCTTTTGTATCAAGACTATTTAACCCATACCAAATATCATTCTTTCAATCCTTATATCATACCATTTTGATTACTCTAAGTTTTTTATATAGGGATGTTTTAATGTGTAAAAAGTAAAGTTCCCTTCACCAATTTATTTCATAATATATAGGATTTGTAATGATATTCTCTCATGTTTAATAACTATCTTTCCTTCTCTGTCAATCTAGATGGGAATGTATCAATTCTGTCAATTATTTTAAAGTACAATCTTTGGTTTTGTTTATTCTTATTTATTTATTTGTTCTATTTCAGTTATGTCATCTTTTTTATTTCTTCATTCTACTTACTTTGGATTTGCTTCATTGCTCTTTTTCTAGTTTCYCAATATAGGTCATTAATTTTAAATCTTTCCTCTTTTCTATTAACGTAATTATTTAAGTTAACTAAATTATTTAAAGTTATAGTTTTGCTCTGGCTTTGGCAGCATCCCACAATTTTTGATAAACTGAATTTTCATAATTCAGCTCAAAATGTTTTCTGACTTCTCTCATGATTCATTCTTTGCTTCATGACTACATATTTAGGACTTTTCTAGATATCTTATTGTTACTGAGTTCTAATTTAACACACTCTAATTCCAATGCTTTTAAATTCCTTTACTCTTATTATGGCCCATAATATAGTTGATCTTGGTGAATGTACTATTAGCACTTGAAAAGAACATGTATGAGGCAGTTGTGGGATACAGTGTTTAAAAATGGTGTAGGGGATTGATGCTGTATACAGATATTACAGAAGATCTGATTGTGTTGTGTGATTCTATCAATTGCTGATAAAAGGGTATTAAAAACTTCCAACTATGCTTGAGTATTTGACAACTTTGATTTTATGTATATTGGAGTTGTTATTAGGCACAGTTACACATTTGTGATTGTTGTATCTTCCTTATAAAGTGGACTTTTTACCATTCTGAACCATTTTTATCTTCAGTAATACTCTGAATCTCAAGACTACCAAAAATGGTATCAATATGACCATCATGACCATTTTTTTTTTTAGGGAGGGGAGTACCACGGATTGAACTCAAGGGCATTTGACCACTGAGCCACATTCCCAACCCTATTTTATATTTTATTTAGAGACAGTGTCTCACTTAGTTTCTTAGCACTTCACTGTTGCTAAGGCTGGCTTTGAACTTGAGATTTTCCTGCCTCAGCCTCCCGAGCCAGTAGGATTTACATGTGTGCGCCACTGCATCTGGCAGCCCTTTTTATTTTTTATTTTTAAGACAGAATCTCACTGAATTTCCAAGTCTGGCCTTGAACTTTCTATTTTCTTGCCTCAGCCTCCCAAATAGCTGTGATTACAGGAGTGCACCACCACATTCAATTTATTTTTTTTTTAATGCATTCTTATAGTCTCTACCTTTTAATGGAGTATTTAACCCATTCATATTAAAAAATCATTTAAAAGTTCATGATTAGGTCTAACATATTGTTATTTATGTTTGTTCCCTTGTTTTTTGTCACTCCATTCCTTCTTTTTTACCTTCTTTTGGATGAAACTTTTTCTTAGAATTCTATTTTAATCTATCACCAATCTTATTTTTGAAAATGTTCTTGCTTATTCTGGAATACATTTCTCCCAGGACACACAGTAATTATTTGGTCAATCTCCTTCCCCAGCTCTACCACCACAAAAACAAAACATAACAAAAACTAAAGACTTTTTTTTTGCCAGGACTTTAATTAGATCCATAATGGATTACGTTTATAAATTATTTTGAGAGGGAATTTATCTTTATAATATTTTCTTTCTAAACAAGTACATCATGTTATATATTCAATAATTTTCAGTAGTTTTCTGTTTTCAAAATGTACATGTCCCCTGATGAGGTTATTTATATACACTTATTTTAACATTCATAGTATTAATGTAAATGAGAATTTAGTAACTCTAATCTATTTTTCTAATGTACTTTTCTAGGGATTACTAATTTTTTGTTGTTGTTTTTTGGGGTGCTGGGGATTGAACCCATGACCTTGTACATGTGAGGCAACACTCTACCAACTGAGCTATATCCTCAGCCCCACTAGTTTTTGAAGTAAGTATTTAAGTAAAATTGAGACCAAAGTTAAAAGAAACAAAATATGAAATGTATACTACTATATCATCAACAAACTTATAATTTCAACAACTTAATATAGTGCAAGGAACACAGTAATAAAAATTCTAATAAATATAAAAAATGGCTAAATATGACTAATTTAAATAAGTAATAATACTTATATTACATTGATACTTATATGGTATTATTAAGTGATTGAAACTTTTCTAAATGTTTTATGTGCATAAACTCACCTAAATATTTACAAACCTTATGGTAATAATTATTTTCATTTTACAGATAAGGAAACTGAGAGTTACCCAAAATCTTACATATAGTATACACTCAAGTAATCAGGCTTCARAGTCTAGTTTTAACCACAAATTTATATTGTCTCTACTTTTCAAATAAAGCATGTCTTAACTTTGGGGCTTAATTACTAAATACAGAAATAAGCATTTCCACTGAACAGTAGCAATGTTGATGCAGGAAATTCCTTCGKTCTTTTAAAATGAACCAATGATAATATTGCCATGTACACACACATAGTTGAAAAGACAAAACATGAAGCCATTGTAAGTTCATTGATAATATGTAAAGTTTGTTTTCAGAATATGTAGTTTGTTTAGTAGGTACATTAATTAAAAAGACAAATTCGTTTCAAATTGCCCTTAACTGAAATTTAAATCATCCCTATCTTGAAATTTAAAAAAATAAATACAGTGAATTTGGGGCATCTAAAGTTAAGAGCAAAAAGATAATAGGGAACTTTGCTATACTACAGCTACCCAGAATTTTTTTAAAAATTGCCTTTACTGGCACTCTGTCTGTCCCAGGATCGTTTGGTACTAAGGAAATAAAATTACCCCAAAGTTTCAGTGTATAATTTTTAGAAATCAACTTTAGTTTCTCATTTTACCTGATCTGATGAAATTTCTGAATCAAATACAGAAGAATCAAATAAATTCAATCTAGGTGATCTAGAAGTATAACTTGTAAGAAATGAAAATCCAGAGGACTCTTTTTGTGTTTGACCTTCAGGTACTGCATTTCTGTTACAAAGAGATTTTTAAAAATCATCAAAATGTTAAAAATCTATCACTAAACACTGAAGATTGACCACAAGCAATGTCATGGGGGTAAAAATTAGCATAGAAGGGAAGGTAGGAAGTAGTTATTGAAGCAACCTATAAAGAAAAGATGGTTTGGGAGGAGACTAATATGGAAAATCAACTTTGGGATAATTATTATGAATATCTACTCAATATACTGTCAGGCACTCTTCTAGGTACTTCCATAAGCATAACTTATTTCTCATAATAACTCTATAATACAGTTATTATTTCAGTCACTTTAATTTTACAGTAAAGGATTTTTAAGTGTAGAAAGTATAAATGATTTGCTCAAAAAAATACAGTAAGTTCTAGAGTTGAAAATTGAATTCAGCACTTCAGATTCAAAGTCCAAGCCCTTAACCCCAACACGGTCTTCAAGATCTTGAAAGTCAGTAACAAGCTGTGTCTATTTTGTTTTTAAATTTTTTTTTTTTTTAGTTTTTGATAGACCTTTACTTTATTTATTTGTCTGTGGTGCTGATAATCAAACCCAGTGCCTCACACATACCAGGCAAGGGCATTACTGCTAAGCCCCAGCCCCAGCCCCAACAAGCTGTGTCTGGATTAGAAGCCAGCCATTACTAAGTTTCTATCAGGGAGTTAAACAGTAAAATGATCCGGAAAAAATAGACAATACAATGTGTAACACATTGGTTAGGAGAATGGATTCTAAAACCAGAACTACCCGGGTTTAAAATCTCAACTCTAACATTGATTACTTGTATTACCTATAATTATGTTTCCTCATTTATAAAATAATGATAATAATGTACCTAAAATGTATAAGATTGTTGTGAACATTAAATGATCAATATTAAATGGTCTAAAGTGCTTATAACAGTGACTCACAGATAGTGCTACGTAAGTGTTTTTAAAATATAATAGGGGCTAGGGGAATAGCTCAACAGAAGATTAAGTACTTAGTATTCACAAGGCCTTGGAGACAATTCCAAATACCAAAAAAGAAAAAAAGTGTGTGTGTGTGTGTGTGTGTGTGTGTGTGTATATGTATGAAGTGTAACAATACTTCCATAAACTATCTCTATGACCATGAATGAGTCACTTAACTTTACAGATCATAATTTTCTCATCCATGGAGAGAAGTTTTAGCATATAATCTGATATTCCTTAATAATTCTCAGATCTGAAGTTGAGTTTCACTTTAAACATGCTGTGCTTGAGTCAATAACATAGTATTCATATATAAAACTTATTCTAACAATTTAAAATACAGAAGTAGGATATAGGTGAGATATCCCTGATAAAGTGAAATCTATCTGACATATTTTGGAAAAACCTCAGGGATCAGTATTAAGGAAGAGACTGAACTAAAGAAAATGTTTAAAGGTAGCACTATTTTCGTGTATGCAAACCATATATCTATAGTTTTCAAAGATAAATATTCATGTTAAAGATATTTATGCCTAACTAGCTTACTAAGCAGAATGGCAATTCTTGCTTCAGACACTATAACACGTGGGAAAATGACTGCTGGAACATTATTCAATGATAAGCCCACAATCTTCCAAATATGGCAGTAGCTCTTTAACATTTTAAATTTCTCTACAAAATTTAACCCTTTGGAAAATTTTAAATCTATATAGTATTGCCCTGGGTAAGTACTCAGGATCTACATCATCTTCAGCTAAACACTGCAGGAAAAATGGGGAGGAAGACCTGTGAAACAAGAACAGCAGAACATTAATAATTCAAACAGGATGATAGGTACTTGGAAGTTCATTATGCTAGTCTCTACTTTGCATGTCTGAAATACTCTATACTAAAAAAAAAACTTTTTAAAGTTACAGGTATAAGTCATTTTACTATTCCTATCAATTTTATATGACTCAATGCATAATTTACTTATAATTATCAAATAAAGTCCTACATTTCAAATGAGGGAGCTTTAGGAAACTGTATTTTTTCCAAAGATTCATGTGACTTCATAGCTTCAGGAGTTTTTAAAAATATAGGAATTTCAGGAGTTGGTGGAAAATTCTCAGGCCTTTCTTCTACTTCATCACTATTATCTTCTATTGACTTTCCAAAATTTTCTGTATGTATAGGCTGCAAATTCAAAGTAACAGAAAACTAAAAATGAATGTTGTTGCAGTAACAGAATGACATATATAAAAATGCACAAGACAGAAAATACCATACTAATCTGTAGTCATTTCACTGATTAGTAAAATAAGAATAACTGGAAAAGTGATATTAAAATACCATTCAAACAATAATTATTTTAATGATCAATTTTTTCTTTTCTATCCAGCTCCATCTTCCTCATTCCTACTCGAGAAAAGTATAACAACCAGAAAATACTGAACTTGATAAAGAATAATGTTTAGGACTGTAGTATAGATGAAGAACTGTATATACTAACTCCTTGAAAGGAAAGAGTAATTTGGGTCTGACAAAAAAATTTAAATGTACTTATTATTTGTATTTCCTTACAGAATAATACTACTATGTTGTTTCTCTTATTTAAACCTTAGTATGTAGGGTAAAGTTTAAAATATATTGTCTACATCTATCATAATTAAAGCTTCCTATTATTCAAAAATACTTTCAAGACATTTTTATGGCAATTACTGGTCTTGGACTGCCACAACAAATCATTTAATCTTACCAAATTGTAGTCTCAATATATATCAGCACTTATTTTTTTAAAAATTTTAATTTATCAGCCCTTATTAATGACAAATTTTTGCATATTTATGTGTAAATTTTTTGTGGCTTTTGGTTTTCGTCTTGTTCTGTTTTATTTTCTTAGTGGTGCTGGGAATGGAACCCAGTGTTTTAAGCATGCTAAGCAAGCACTCAACCACTGAGCTATACCCCCAGTCCTTTTGGCTTTTTGTTTTGTTTTGTTTTAATTAGTTATAAATGACAGGAGAATGCATTTATGCACTGTGATATATCATATATAGATGGGACATAATTTCTCATTTTTCTGAGTGTGTATGTTGTAGAATCATATTGGTCATGCAGATATACATACATATATATATATATATATATTTATTTATATAAATATATATATATATATATTTCATTCTACTGTGTTTCCTATTCCCACATCCCCCCCCTCCTCCCTTTACTTCCCTAAGGTAACACTAYTCTTCTCTCGTGTTTTTGGCCTTGCTTTTGAATATGAAAAATAGAATCTGTAACTTCCTAGAAACCTGATTAGCAACTAATAAAATCTCACATAAACAATCTTTATTGCACTAAATCCAAAATTAAAATKGACACAAAATTTTAAAATTAGAATGGTTAAATCAAACATTTGACTTACTTGTGAAGTGCATTTTGATTCTCTTAATTGTCTCACTGTCCCTTTTTCTCCACACTCAGCATCTGTTACATGAGAACAAACTGTTTTTCTTTTTGTAATTTTATTATAAAATAAAACACATTAGTTTAACCATATGAAATTGCCAATATTTAACTCTGTTAGTCTACCAAAATGGCAATTTCATGCTTCAATCCAATATATACAAATAAGAGAATAAAATATAATATAAACAGTTTAATAAACAAAATTATAAAGAGAACACTCATATAACCACATCAAGTAAAGAAATAAAACATCATAAGCACTCCAAAAGGTCCTACATTCTCCTTCTCTTAGAGGTAATCCCTATCCAGACTTTTGTGATAATTTTTTCCTAATTTGTTATATATGCTTTTATCATCTAAAWAACATATCTTATTTTCCTGTTTTAAAATGTTATAACATGAAATTAAATATGTCCTATCTCTTGCTTTTGTTTACTTTTTTTGTTTGAGTAACATATGCTTGTGAGATTCATCCATTCTGTAGTACATGATATAGTTTTCTTACTGATATAAAGTATTCCATTGCACAAACAGGACATTATGTATCTATACATTCTACAGAAAATGGGTATTTAGGATGTTTCCACATTAAAACTATTACAAATAATAACATTCCTTACTGATACAATTGAATGTATATCCTTGTATTTCTTTAAGTATATGCCTARAGGTGGAAATTATGAGGAATAGAGTATGTGCTTTTCTCAAGACCAGATGTCAACCTTTTCTAATGTAGTTGTACTAATTTCCACTGTGACAACTAGCCACCTTGGAAATCATTCAGTCTCATCAGACAAATTAGCTCTAATTTATTAAAGACAATTCCTACAAATAGTTTGAAGGTTCCTATTGTCCTGTATTCTCATCAAAACTTAATATTGTGAGACATTTTGAATTTTGCTAATTCGGTAAACATGTAATGATAACTCAGTGTGGGTTTGTTTTTTTTTTTCAGTTCCATGATTTGCTGAGTATCTTTTCATGTTTATCTGCCACAAAGTTTCTTTCTCTTTTTAAAATACCTAATCATATTTTGCATATATTTCTTTTTTTTCTATTGGTCGTTCATAACATTACATAGTTCTTAATACATCATATTAC